TCTTGGTTCTTAATTAAAAAAGAAAAAAGAAGCAAAAGTAATTCCATCACAGGAGAACTGGGAAAGCCTTGTTTTACTTTAAGCCACAATTACATGTCGCTTCAGTCATAGCCAAATTTTCTTTCTTTCCCATGGGGATTCCCCCAGTGTCTCAGTGCATCTGTTCCTAGCATTAGAGCATTCAAGTCTTTTTCCACCACCTAGCTGCTTATTTTCATGAAGCTTGAATGAATTTAATCCTCTTTGAATCAGATTCACACAAATTTGTCTAAGCTTCAGAAGCTAAGAGTGGTGGGTAGACAGACAGAACATTCAAACCTATCACACAAAAGTTTGTTTACATAGAAAACCAGACTGGCAAAAGGTCTGATTAAGTATTCCTTACAACAGGAAAACTAGTATCTACAAATCCCTTCCACTGAAAAAACAGCAGAAGATTTTACTTTTATTTTCTAAGCTGTCTTTGAAAAGGTTGGTTGATAGAATGTCTAATCATGAGACATTTCAGTTCAAAGTTTGGATGTTTCAGGAAGTTTTGACTGCATAAGAGGGAAAAAACCCACAAACCCTCAAAGCCTTCCAAAATTTCAAGTGGTCTGCACCAAAAAACAGCAATAGAAAGGTAAGGCAAACAAACAACTGAAAAATATACAGAAAAGAAGAAAGAAGAGGAAAGACAAGGCAGAGGTCCATACTACATACACATCTTACAGAAAGGAGGTACAGAATACATGAAGAAAAACAAGAATTAGATTTTATATAGATTATTTTCCTAAGCTCAAACATATCAGAAGAATTCAGCAATTCTCCTTATGTAACCCGCAGTATCTTCGCATTGTTCTAGACAGAGAGGTGAACTACCCTTTATGCATCATGTGATTTTGTTCGGGTTTGTGACTGGAAGCCATGAAACCTGCTGAAAGATATACTGGAAAGACACCTTCTGTAGTATCTTGAAACTCCTGTTTAAAACATATCCAGAAGCACGTGTAAAGGCATTAACCTCCTTCAGCTCTTTGCAATTGTAAAAGCAATGTCAACTAAGACAACAGTCATACTGCTCAGAACATTCAGATTTGTCATCTTTAATTCAATTCATCAGTACTTATTAGGAAAACTTTACCTGGAGGGGGAAAAAAATCTGTTATCACTTCTGCTATAAAAATAATCCCTGAAATAATATGTAAGTAAGTATTACATTTCCTAAGATAAAGCAAATAAACCCTTTCAAAGAAGTGTATTTGGACTCAAAATTGAACATACATTCTAGCGGAAAACAGACCTTTTAGGTACTAAAATATCTCTGCACCAAATATAAACCTACTTGAGGAGGCTTGGAAAAATCTTTGAAAATTTTAATAGCAGCAATAAATTGTCAATTCTGTTCTCTTACTAAATGAATACTTGACATTGCTTATGACAGAACCACTTGACTGAGAAACAGCTTCATGGAAGAGAAACCAGCTGTCTTCTGACAAACAAGAAAGCCTACATTTCCTGAATAACATGTCACATTTGTCCATTTTTTCCTTTTTACTTCCCTTTTTTAGATAAAGTTCCTTTTCTGCTGAAAAATACAGCCATTTTCCCCACTCCACCACTCCTTCATTCACTAGTTTTACCAGTTCCTCTTCACACTGCCTGGGTAACACCTCGAGTTTCCTCTAACTCTTCAAGGACTGAGGAATAACTTGGTGAAAAATAATCAGCTAGTAGTCAGGAAAAACACTCTTAATAAGTTGTATGTTTATGACTGCTGCTCAGTCTCTCTTTTTTGCTTTAAACACAAGTCCCTAAATGCTGCATTATCTACCAATTAGTTATGCTAGTTCTCATCTGTATCAAGCCAGGTCTACATAAACCCTCCTTACATGATACAGTTTCAGGAGCCGGCTCCGGCTCAGCAAATCACCTGTCTGCTTAACCACACTGGCAGCAGTTCCTTGCTTCCTACCACGAGTGCTGAGCATCCTCAAGGAGAGATGGTGCTGAGCTCCTTTCTCATATAAAATGCCATTTCCCTCTCCTTGGAGAACAATTACATTCATGGTTGATAGAAACAGAAGATAATTCTGAAAAAACAAAGTTAAAAATACAGCATGCGCCTTAAGGTATCCGAAGTATTACTGCTCTCTTTTTAATGAGGCAAATAACAGCATCTGTCTTCTCACTGGTATGGGCACATATGCTCGTTAGCATTAATGGGAGTCAAGGAGCTGTACAGATACTGTATTATTACTACACATACAGGATTATCTCTCTTTATTACCCTAAACCAGAGATTTCTGACTGTTACAAGGAGATCTGGGTACTCTTTACTTTGTGCCAGGACACTTTGAAGGAGGAGGAAAAAGCCTGATGAAGATGATGACAAACTGTAGTTCTATTAAATAACTTGGAGAATGTCATAGTCAATTACATATTTAAAGACTGAAAGCAGGCTCACATTTGCAAACAAATCATTCATTCAGGCTTCGTTTCAAACACTGCTCCAGGCTTTCTGTTTATCAGAGACAAATGGCAAAGTGATGAGTCCTGCATCACAACATTTTGTAATACTCAAAAGCAGAACTCCAGCAAGAAAAATCTAAGACATCTACAACTCAATGCATCATTGTAGCATGGTTTTTTTTGGTGTTTTTATTTCCCTGCCAGCTTTTCTCATGGGAGGACTGAAGTTCCTCCAATGTACCATAAAAACATACATAAAAATTCAGCTGAATATATTATTTAGTGCCATGAAGAAGGAAGGACCTCCCTGCACTGCTGCTGAAAGCAGAGGTGGGTACAAAACTGCAAGTGCCCAGAACTATCTTGGGAAATTAGTTTAATAGTGAGCATGCTTAGCACCTTTCCTAAATCCTAAAAGAAAGCTGCTAGCTATGGCAGGGAAGCTAACCCTTGTGAATCATACATACTGAGATTGTGACATGAACCAGCGCTTGGTCAGGAGGAAAAACTGCCACTGAGCCCTAGCTGAAGAGGATCCATCTAGACCAGCAAAGATGTTAGCAGGTCAGCCCCCGTGGCAGATCTCCTGGCTACGGGGCAAGGTCTTTTGTTTTGACGCAAGGCATGGAGAGAGCCACACATCTATGAATGCTGGTGCGAGGTCTGCGGTGTTAGAGAACGTGTCCTGTTGTACTGATGAATTGAAAGTACACAAACCTGGACTGCAGACACTACAGTTCCAACCTCATTTTGTAAGACAAGGACGTGCAGGGTAACAGCGTAACCGACAATATGTACTACATTTTAGGTTATTTCATTGACTGCATCACAAAACTGGAGAGTAAACAGTCTAAACATACAAAGTGTAGATCTGCTAAAAACCTTATTTATTTTAGAATTATTTTGGAATATCTTTACAGGAAAATATTTACTCATAGCTTTTGTCCACAATTAATTTATGGAGAGTAAAAGAGTATTTGAAATGTTTTATTTGCAGTGAATCTCAACTCTTTATCCAGGCAACTCTGCAGTTCTCCTTTGCTAATTGATGCTAATACAAAGTAGTTCTGTAGTTTTATTTGATGCTTAAAGCAAATTAAAAAAACCCCAGTACTCTAGAACCTTATTTCTAGCAAAGCTAAAGCTTGGTAAGAGAATATTGAATGGAATATTGAAGTCCTACAGCTAACTTTGTCACAAACTGGACAAGACTGCCAGAAGTTGAAGTGAAGGAGCTCTATTTCTACTAATGTGTATTCATTAGTAATTTTATTTCCTAAAGCTTGTGTAGATGCATTTTGGGACAACTTGTGATGGTTCTGTAGCTAAAACTTCATCTTTTGTTACACCCCAAACCATACCTCATTGCAAATCTTTATAGCAAAACATCAGACCTATGGAAGATGCCACATCAGTGAGATTTATTTCAACTTAATGAAAATGAAACCTCCAAATATCACTTTGATCAAGTAACCCTGCAAGTCATTTTACTTCTTATGAAAATGCAGTTGGTCAAATTTTAATAGGAGGTAAAATCTTACTGCCTCAAGATTGCTTTTAAAATAACTTTATCCTTTTGGGCAACATGCAGTTTAAAGTAAAGAACTACATCTTGGCACATGAGTAAGCTTATCAAATTTATATAGACACTGTGTAATCCAGGATTCCAAATTATTCCAAATAAAATTCAAGATCTTTGAGTTCACAGTGGTTTCTCTTCTTGACAAAAACAGATAAAGAAATGGCTATTCTGCAGTACACATGGTAAAGAGATCCGCAAACAGGCAAGACAACACAACACAGCACACTGCAGGTGTACAAGGCAGAGTACAGGCACACACACAGACGATCTCCCAGCAAGACTTACTGGCATAAGCATGGTATTGGACAGTCATGGCTAAAGTACACTCAACCACAACTCAAATCACACTCAATTTAGCTCAGAAGCATCTGTACAACTTTTCTTGAGACTTTTCTGGTTTTATCCTTTTTGGGTTAAAATTAAACAGGCTCTAATCACACCCGTGGGTGAAGTTTCATAGAAATTCACTTCAGAAAATGGTCATTTCGAAAGAACTTAAAGCAGACCATTCAGCACTGTACATTCAGAATAAAGATGAACCTGAAATTAGGTCCCTTTTCCCAGTTTTCTGCAGCTGTTTTAGGCTACAGCCAAGTTACAACAAGTATTTGCTACCCTGATCTTAACGTATTGTGGTTTATGGCACAGCCCATGGCACAGACTAAGGCCTAAGCAGGTTTTTAATGCCCAGTTTAGTTTTGGAGCATGACAAAAAATTCAAAGTATACTATAACATTTTTGCTGTGTTTATGCTTTCTATTGTGCGATAATACATATAATAACAAACAAATACATAACAATTCCTATGGGCTTATGGTACCCCTCCTTTACTGGAGAGGCTCAAGGCTGAGCTACAGAGACACTTGCCCCTTCTGCTTTTTCTTTTGCAGAGCCTCCTTCCATTGCACACATTGTCAGACTTTTAGCAAAATGGTGGGGAATCCTCTACCACATATACAGTCTTTACCTGCTAGAATAGAGCATGGGTTGATCACATTGATAATGGTCATCTACATTCAAGGAAGAAGAAGAAATTGTGGTTGCCAAGGAAGCCGCTTCAAACAGAGATGGAGTGCTCGGCACTAGATCCGGCCGGTGGCGTGACCCTAGTACTGCATAAAATAAAGTTCACAAAAATAAAGAACAATATTAACAAATTTAATTTCAAATCGAATCCAATAATCTTTATGCAAGGGTATGGAGTCACACAGTGCTCTCAACAGCTTCCTGAAGCTTCTTAACATGTTTGAATTGATGAGATTGTAATATTCATGTGCCCATACCCACGCTCCTTCGTGTTACAAGGTGATTTTCAGCTGCTAGCCAGTGCGTTCCACAGAATACAGAGCAACCCCAAGGTCAAATATTAAACTGTGGTATGAATATCTAACGAATTCTTCTAAGTTCTGGGGCTGGTCTTACACTACCAGCGCCCAGTTTTCAGATGGAATTAGGAGGCTGGTTCTCCTTTGAGCCTGGCTGCAGATGAGCTCTGAAAGGGGCAAAGTCTGTATCTCTTCAAAAAGACTTCTAAAGCTTATATTAAATTCCTTTAAAAACATTGTTTAGGCTGTTGATTTGAGAGACATTACCTTCTTCATCAAGGCTGGCGTAGCTTTGTCCTTCAGCAAGAATGCCATGCTTTTCATCCTTCCACTCCTGGCTAACCGCACACACTATTTCTTGTGATGTTGCCTTTAGGGCTGTGATGGAATTGCACCGTTTCTTTGAAGGTGAAGACTTTAAAGCTGCATTACCAAATTAATATAGGTGTTGAATGATCTCACCTTATCTCCCTGCACATCTTTAACAGCATATAGAAAAACAAGCTGTCTATAAAGCTCAAGTTTCTGAATACAGACGAAGAACACATCCAGATACAAACCCACTTACCAAATAGTATATTAAAACTAGAGCCAAAGGCGTTGTTATTTCATTTGTAAGTGAAGTACTTTTGTCTTTTTCTGGGGTTTCTTACTTCTCATAGGACAAAAAAATTCAAGTCAGTTAACCAACTTTGACATCACTAAGTTACAAATCTCCTATGGAGTATCAATCCATGTAATCAGAGACAGAATGAATCAGAGAAAAAAAAACAGAAGATAGGAAAACTGAAAAGACATTTGGAGTATTCTGAGGGTTTATGATATTTCCTTGAGCTGTGGAACTACTGCTGTATAATGATGCATGTGCTACTGCAGAACTTCCACTTCAGCGACATGTGCCAAACATCTTTGGGTAAAATTAACACTTCTAAAATGTTGGTGGCTTGTACACTCAGGTATGAGCATCCCTTTTATAATTCTTACCAGGGCCTGCCTACTTAAAATGGCATTTTGGGTGAAAATCTAGGATCTGACCATTGCCACTACTACTGAACCATGACCCCATTTATAGTTCTTCTCCAGAACGATACCAGCCAGTTCATTTAGTGTTTTTCAGTTACCAGCTGCTGACCTGCATGCACTGGCTGCAAGGTTACTTCAGATGCACTGCAATAGTTCATAATGTGCTCTACTACAAAATTCAAATTAAAAGCATCAAAGCCACTTGGCTAAAAACTGAAGAAGAGAAAGAGATGCATAGCTCCAGGATACTGTTAAAAAATAACATAGCAGATAGCTGCTGAGCTAGCCTCTGCCCAAGGCTGAATATGCTTATTATGTTTTTATTGTTATTTATGGAGGCTTGTTCTGTGCACTAGGGCAAAAAGCACACATTCAGAACAGGGCTTAAGAGTTTAAACTGAAATGTCTAACTCGATGTTTAGAAACAATGGTCCTGAAGGCAGGAACAGTCCCTATTCTTTATTTTACGAAAGAATGACAATGCATGTGAACCATTAATCCGTGTAAAAGTTGATTAATAGCCTTGTATGCAGAGCAGATCAATAACAGTGGGACATTAAGACAGGTTAATAGCCTGGAAAAATGAGACAGACAAATTAAGATTAGAGAGAAAATTAGGCATGATGTCCTTAATTGTACATTGTAGTTTTCAAATACAGAACAGGTTGTGGCTTGTGCTGACATAAATCTAGCAGTCAGAATTAGAAAGAACTGAAAAAAAAAAAAAAAAAGACTCAAATGTTCAGGAAACATATATGGCTGCATGAGACATTTACTTTGTCCAACAGACTGAAGTATCAAGTTGTCGACTCCTTACTCTATCAGTGCAGAGGAGTTCCTTTGAGTATTGTCTCAGACAACAGAGCTCCCACCAGTTCTCTGGCAAAATTATTCCAGGGTTTAAGAGATCAGAGTCTCAGGAGGCTCCTTCCTCCTTTCAACTGAATTTTTGCTTCGTATTTTGTCATATTACATCAGATTCTTTTATTTTGATATTAATCATCCTTTTCTGAAGGATTTAACATTTAACACCTTAAGCTGTTAACTTGTGCTAGTATTTGTAGTCATTCTTGTTTCACTTAAATCTCATTTAGTTCTATGCTTCATTTGTATTTTGTTCTACCTCTATCCACACAGACTTGCTTCTCACTCCAGATAACTAATGACAATGTTAAGAGACCAGCATAACACTGGTCAAGAAAGTACTTACAAAACACCTTCTATCAGTTTGATAAAATGCCATATGCTCAATACTTCTTCTGTAGTATTTGAGCCAAATGTCCATTCCACATTTTGACATTCAACTCCAAACCAAATACAGTTCCACAAGTAGGATTGTCAAATTGCTAACTAGGATACATTTTAGAGTATAAGTTCCTCTATAAAATACATAATTCTAGCCAGTGAATTTATATATATTTGTCAGGAACTCTGCTTTATAAAAAGCCTTGAAACCTCACAAAACACTGTTTCCTAGAAGCTGAGCAGAAACATCCTTTCTCTTACTGAGAAAAAAAAAAAAAAAAGTGTAATTTCACCACCTCCACAGATTTAAAAAATAACTTGGCAGTAAAGCCCTAAGTTAGTATGGATGCATAATATGTAAACCAGCTGATCTGTATGTCTTATAATAAGGTTTTTATACCACTTGTCATAATTGTTGAAAAAAACCCTCGTTGCTCAGATAACCAGAACATCTTTTCCCCAAAGAGCAGCCTGGGCCACAGTGAACCCCAAGCAATCATCTTGGCCTTGCTGGTATATTTATCAAGTCTTCCCTACAGCCTTCCTGACTGCACACACACTGAATGCATCTCAGTGGTCATCACCATCCTTCTCTGCACTTGCGATGCTTCAGACTGAATTTCCTTTCAGTAGCATGACCGACTCATAGAGGAATTATCCATCAATTCATTAATATTTAAAGACTCTCCAAAAGTCCTATTTTCCTGAATAGCTGTCACAACATACAATGAATATAGGGAATCACTAATTAGGGTTAATTCAAATTCTCTCTTTTTCTTCCAAAGACTCCTTCACTCTACTTAAAATATCTCTTTTCTTATTTTCTGTAGTTCAGCTACTCTCAGCTTTCTCCTTTCATCAGTCTATCCTGTTCTTTTTCTTCTTATTTAGTAATTTCACAAAGTACTTATCACCTACATTTCTGATTTCTTGTTGCTCTTAGTTATCAGTTTTCCCTCTTTTTTCTTGTGCTTTTAGACCTAATCACGTATGTTGTTCTAGTCTGCCATGTCTTTAACATTGGTTTTTGTGGACAGGGTCAGAGTTTCACAAGCTCCTTCCAGATAATTTGATTCTTTCCAAAAACAGTTGGATACTGGTCTTCAGAAAGGTTATATATCTTCAGACAAAATGCAGAGTAACACAAGCCAGTATAGTCTGAAAAATATTGACTTCCAATGGTAGAAATTTTAGCAAAAATAAAACCTGATCTCAACTTTTGATGGAAGAAGCCTGTAAGAAGATGAGTCTCTAAACTTTGATTTTTTTTTTTTTTAATTGTGCAATAAGAATATACTTATCACACCTGGAGGAATTATAATACAAGGTAGATATGAACATATGAACTTATGTTCAAGATGTGTATTCTTGAACAACAGCTAGTTTTCCCCTGTTAATTTTCAAAGGAAAGTTAATTTTTCAAGGACAGATCTCCCTGTCCTTATCTTGACCCACGAGCCTTTTGTTAGATTTTTCTCCCATGTTCAGTTCCAGAGGGGAGTGATAGAGCAGCTTGACTTTATTAATATCCAACTTCTGATTTTTTTCCTTGATAAAGAACAGAAGAAATCCATATCAAAGGGAAGAATGCCTATCTTTTCAAACATGCGGGAGGTGGTATGTAAACAATCTTTACTTTTGCAAATTAAATAAATTAAAATCAACGGGGGTATTCCTACGAATAACAGATGCAGGACTGGAAACAACATTAGATCATAAAATTTATCTTTGTATCAATGTTAATATAAGGGAACCTGTTTTACCTTCAGATTCCTGTGATGTGACAAAAAATACATAGCAAATAATTCTCTGTAATTTTACTGTTAGAGTACAAGCCCATTAGCTCCAGTGAAGAAACTCAACTTCTGGCAATCTAAGCGCTACATGATGTTGAAGAAAGGATTCTTTTATTGCCAAGACAGGAGCATTATAAAGGAATGATTATAAAAATATCTAAAAGAGTTAAAGTCACAAGTTTCTTACCTTGAACTTTCTTGAAAACTCTTGTACTCATAAACTTTAAAAATCTGTCTGCATAAAAACTTGGTCGGTGAACTGAAACAGTATCCTACAAGATTGAAAAAGGTGTCAGTCACATTTTCCATAAGTAAATCACAAGTAAATTGTCAAGAAGGAAGGCGGACACCTCAGGTAAACTATATCATACATTTCAGGCATACTCAAAACAAGTGAATCCTAGTAAGTTTTTCCTTTTTAAAGGTTAATTCAATAACTTTTCTTTAAGTATTTCATTTATGAAATTATGAGTTATGAATTATACAGCCATATTCCGCAAAGTCTTCCTAGCATTTCAAATGCTTTTTTTTTCACATTATGTACATTTTTCATTTACAGATTCATCAATGTCCTGCTAAATGGCCATTGTCTTCTGTAGGTTACAAGGACAAGCTGATCATTTTAGCTGCTTTTTGAAAGATCAACAAATAAAATCAAAGCATGTATTGGGAAATGGACCTAAAAGATTTCAGCAACAGCCCAAACCACATGGCGATGGCAGACTATGAATATACCGAAGCTAGCTCTTTCCTGGTCAATGTAAGTCAAAGTTCCAGTAGCTAAAATATCAGCACTTAAAAAAATAATAAAATCTACTTACCCCATCATAAACAAGAGCTTTCCAAGAATGTTCCAGCTTCTTCATTAACCTAAGCATGTAAAACAAAATCAGAACTGCTTTATAAAGTTTCCACAGTTGTAAGTAATTTCAGAATAGCTTATTCAATAAAACCTTGAAATTCAACTTACCTATAAGACTGGAGAATATCAATAATACCCATAAATAGAAGCAGCTTTTCTCCTTTATGGCTTTTAGCTGGAATACCTCCCATTCTGAGAAAAACAACAAAAACATAGTTAGATTATCTTTTAAGACCTCTCTCATCATGAGTTAGCAGGTGAACTGTATCCACTTGCAAACCCAAAGAAACAGGCACAACATTAAAGCTAGATGCCACAGTGCAAAGTCAGTCAAATGTGAGTCACTTAGCATACAACTGATTTTAAATAGCAAATGTAAAGTATCTGGAATCCAGTGGTAACATTCCATTATAAACAAAGATTATTTTAGGATAACTTCTAGATAGAATTGGAAATATTTAGATGATCTGAAAATTGGAAAAAAGTATACATCAGTTTATTACTAAGGAAAAGAAATAATTTTGCCTAGCTAAAGGAGAATTTTGTCACTTTATTGATCATATGTAACAAAACTGTAGAGAGCCTGCACATTACTCCAAGTACAAAAAAGTTGTTTGGTGTATTTTTCACTAAAAATTAACTATGCGCTTTTCAAAAATTCCTTTACAGACAGATTAGTGACAGAAGAAGTAACAGTATCAAGCTGAGAAGCCTGACTGCCTGGATCTCCACTTGGTTCAGAGTATTTACTCAGCCATGACCTTGAAGAACAAGATGCTCATCCTAAAACCGTCTCTTCCTACTCCACCATCTAGAAAAAAAGGGTCCATTGTTTAGAACCAGAAACTGAAATCCAATTTTCAGTTTGTCAGCTTCTCTTGGCATTGATGGACCCACTACAAAACCAGAAGAAAAAGAGACTGAAGGTGCAACACATCTAATACCTCCAAATCTTTTTTAACAGTTTGAGAAACAAGTAATGCACACCTGAAACAGCTATCAAAGACATGGTTGAGAGTACATTCCCCATTCCACCACTAAAGCACAGCAGTCCCTTCCCCTGACAAAACAGGGGGACTCAAACTCAGCCTTTTTTGGGGGGGGCAGGGAAGGTTTTTTATTATTCTAGGCACAAAGGAAACCATGTAAGAACAAGTGGAATTTAAATTACTGTAAAACCCTGTTACTGTAAACTCCAGCTCAATTAACTGGTCAGACATTAAGAAGTGTTAAGTGGTTTACAAAACTATATTCTCTCAGCTTTTCCTGGAAGCTATGACTACAGATTCAATACATTATAAGCAGCAGTTACTGCTACTGGGTATCCTTTCTCACCCTCATGCTTGTATGGCCTTACTATGAACCACAGCAGAAGACTGACCTAGGGGTCTTTTTTGTAAGACCTGGCTTATTTTCATCCACCTCAGTGAGGTTTGCCACACCACCAGTTATGTCAACACAAGAGAGGAAATAGTGTGAGGGGCCAAGGAACGACTCAACTGCTGCAGCAGGCTTTCAGCAGCGGTACTACACTGCTCAAGATCTGGGCAGCACTACATTAGCTCAAGTGATGTAGGAGCCCAGGGTGGGTTGCCATACATAATAACCACAGGGGCTTTTTTGGATGACCTATATAATCAGCTTTGGTTTTCACTTAAAAAACAAAACTAGAACAAAACCGAAAGCCAAAACCCCCCAAACTGCCACTGTAACACCTCTGCCACCATACAAGAGCCATCTTTTGTGTGAATGTGAGTAATGCTGTAAAAACTAAGTGAAATTCAGCTCTAGAATTCTAGAGCTCTGAACACCTGGAAACTCTCTATAAATGCTAAATATCATAATTCTCCCATTGGTTTGCTGTACATTCAAGCACAGGTTTCTGTATTATTACTTGTATTTACCTAGACAGCTCCCTTGAGAACCAGGAGAAGGGTAAATCCTTAATTTGAAATTAAACCCTCATTATAATGAAGGACTGATTCCATAAAAAGAGAATGGTGAACATAATGCTCTCACTAACACTGAATGTATTTCAAAGGAAACAACAGAATAACTATCATCTATATACTTACATTTCTACTGCACTTTTTGCTAGATAGAAAAATAAAAGGAAAGCAGCAATTCTTAATCTCAGGAAATATTGTACATGGATATGACTGCACTTCAGTGGTTGATGACACAGTTCTACATATTGAGTATATACCACTTTGAAATTAAAATAACCACTGTAGGAATATCCATTTCAACATTAATAAATACTTTTTGCTTATGGCTCATCAGGCTGCTTCCAGTTAAAATTAGATTATACTTGGGACTCTTGTAACAGCTGTCTCATAACATCTCTTGTGCATACGTAAGTAATTTTGAACTAACCAAATTCGCTATCGTGTATTTAAAGATGATCAATCTACTAATCAACGTTTTACTTTCCTGCTCTGCAGGAAATCCTGATGGTCCAGCTTTTTTTTGGAGGGGTGGGGGGTGGAGGGGGAAGGCTTAATCTTTCAATTCCTGAAATGCAGTGTATTCTTGAATGTTTTGTCTCTTAATACCAAGTGGCACAGACTGAAGAAACAGAATGTGTAAGTTTTATGAGTAATCTTAAGAGCAGGTTATGGCACTTACGTGTTTGTTGTCTCTGTGGTGACAGAGTCCCCTGACTTCCCAGGGCCCTGTATAGACTCCATGGCTGTGGAATAGAGAACTTTCTGCCCTCCAGGACGTTTCGCATCCGATGCACTCTGGGAACTCTCTCCCTCTTTCTCCTTCATGTTACTGTTCAGTATGTGGATTCCCAGTAGCAGACTGTAATCCATGATCTTAAAACTTTCTAGAACCTATCAACAAAGAAGAAATGGCTGTACTGAAACAAAAAAAAGACTACATACAATATGAATTACACAGCAGCATTTCGAAAATCCTGGAGTAAAAATAGGCCTTCAAAGCACAAGTTTCTCTTATTAGGAAAATGTGTGAAATTATAATTAAACTAAAATCTTTTACTACCCCACATAAGTCAAAGTGCTAGTTATCTAATTAGCTCAATACTCTTGTTACAAGTGGAAAAGAAAGATGCACAGCTGAAATGTAACACGATGTTATTTTGTAGCCAAGGAAGATATGTCCAGTCAGCATCTTTTTTACTTAGAGCAAATAATCAGTTAATAGTTCCACCATATACTTAATGAACTACAGCCATTTTTAAAGTCACCTCTAATGCATGTTCTAGACTTTACTGAGCATTTTTGCCTAGACTACTCTCTACCTCACCTCCACCTCCTGTTTATAACTGAGAACGCATTCTTGGAGAACTTTCAAATGTCAAAAAAAGCATTTGCTACCACCCTCTCATTAACAGCTGATGGGATACGGGTACAAAAAGCATGCATCTCTCTTTATTAGGCTAAATAGAGCCTATTGAAACTGCAAAGGCAGTTTTATTTTTGAAGCATAACTTAACCAACCAGCCTTCTCTTCCAGCTCTACCAACCATTTTTGCCTCTGTCAGTAGGCGAGTTCCCTTTCTTCTTTCATGCACATGTACTGTCATAAGTTTCTAGTCAGTAACATCATTATGAAGTCTGGCACACTGCCATTAAAAGGAAATGCAGTTCAAGTCAATATGCAAACGTGAACTAAAACAAGCTGTGATTGCATCTAGTAATATAATCAAACTGTTAGCAGGCAGCAACTGTGCTAAATATCTTACACAACAGCAGTGCTAAGTGGAGGGAGAAAAACTGGTAGCAACCAGGAAGGATATGCTGTGCCACTCACCTCTCCTTTACCTCATGCAGCTCAGTAATGATTCATGATACATTTTGGCACATGATGCCCTAAGATAATGGTGTAATTTTTGGCACGTCATCAAGAGGCAATAGTACATCTTTTTATGTGAACAAGAACAAAATGTGATTTTGCAGAGATGACAAATAGAGAGCAGTAACTCCCGATATGTCATTTTGATGAAGACTATCAAAGCATAAATATTTTTACACAAAACACTGGGATGGCTTGTGAACGCTAAGACATATTTTGCAAATCCAAAATGAGATTTGCCAGCAATCATCAGGAAAGATCTAGTGGTCTCCAAAATTGTATGAGGAGGAAAAGGCTGTCTAGTACCTAACGCATCCCCAGAGATAATTTTAACTCCAATGTCCAAGCGCATAGCCAAAGAGGTAGGAAAGCTCTGTTCCACTCCATCCGTATTTCTTATGTACTCTTTACATTACGTAGAAGCCAAATGTACAATACAGCTGAATTCTTTTCAATCTCTGCCATTTATCTTCCATGAGGAACACGGTGTCTTAATTTATAGCACCGTTTTAAGCATTTAAAGTGAAGAAATAAAGCATAACACAATGTAATCTAAGTGTAGAAAGGCATAGCCTCATTCTGATTTCCAGACACAACAGAGGAGTTCAGAAAACATGGTAGGTTTGCTGTTGCTCAGAGTAATCCTGCACAGAGGTGGGTTAGTTCAAATGGAACAAGGAAAAGGCTGCTAACGTATGGCCCTCAGCATCCTCTGATGACAGAACTCCCACGTGGTTTCAAGGACACACAAAAAAAAGCATATTCTAAATTACCATACAACAAAATAATGAAATTTTATTGCGCATTGTGTGAGAATGTTGGTGGCTAATAACTTCCTGGTTTACCATCATGAACTGCAAAAATAGCACAGCTAACAGGTACAAAGGTACAGACACTTGATGCCAAGTAAGTTCTAGAATTTTCTTTACTGCTTGCTTATTGCTACCCTTTACTCAGACTTTCTCAAAAAGAAATTACTATAGAATGTATTCATTGAAAATATATAATCAGTGGACGTTTGCTGCCAAATACTGAAAGTAGATTCTGGGTAGGTTGAAAAAAAATATAATACAATTCATCCTGTATAAAAATACTTACCTTAGTAGTACAGTCAGCAACACTGTTTATGCAAAGCCAGATTACAGCAGCTAGTCAGGCTTGGAAAAGCATTGCCACTTTTATCTTACAGTTATAAATGTAACTGCTGACAGCCCTGCCTTCAACCTATTCTTTACCACCTTTTGAATTAGATTACATTAGACATATTATGATTTAACTGCAGTAATTACATAACCTACGTCTAGGATTGGATATAGCCTCATGGAAGGCTGTGGTATAATGTGCTGATTCTTCTTCCACAGGGACCTCTTACATGATAAAATTAATCTTTCTGACTGCATCAATTCACCCCTGTCACTTAAACCCATAGTACTTGTACTATACAATGTACTAAAAATCTCTTTGAATATTTATGACTTTGTTCTAGGATTACTGAAAAACATCATAAAAACAAGTAGCTATTTTGTTACTCCAGTTCATTATGAAATTGAAACACCTGCACATCCAATGGATTAACTGCAGTACATATTTTTACAAACAGCACGTAGCATATGAACTCTAGCCCTTGTCCCTCCAACACCCTATTCATGGTCCTACTCAGAGGCAGGATTGTCCAGTCTACAAAGTGTCTTCAGGATATCGTTATATGATCTGCCCCTCTGTCTGCCTGCTGGTTTGATATACAGTTCTGATTACCTTCCCTTAGAAATTTGATCCCCAAACCAGCCACTCCTAATGCAAATACCTATCTTTTGACCAGAACTAAGCATGTTTTACTCCCTTGTTTGTTTCTAAGGAAAATTCCGATATGAAATAATTAACCAGAATAACAAGGAAAAAATCTCAAACACCATCATTCAGCAAAAACTTATTTTGTGTCAAACTCGTCAGTCCATATTAAGACAGACATTTTACTTCAGTCAGTGGGATCTCCAGCTGAATATATCTGAAGGGTACTCACACATATATCATCATTAATATTTAAAATATCAAATCATTATTATTTTAAGAAGTGTAAGTAACATTTTGCACACACAGTTGTACAAATTAATCTGGTTTGCCATGGAAAAGTTACAGAATGCAGTACATCAAGCTATTTCTAAACATGCAGCATCCTATGAGAACACAAAAAGGCACAAGCCTCTTCCTGGATTGAGGGTGGCTCGCAAGTAGCTTTGATGGTTTTAGATGGAACTGCTTTTGAGAAGCAGCAGCAAGTTTTTGCTACAAAGGTACAAAAATGAGATTCTAATCTAACGAAACAATGCTCAAACAAATCACAGTATTAAAAGGACTATATTCATAGCAAAGGAAGAAAGCCCTGTAAAACACCTCGATGTCATCTATGTGAGATCACTAGAAATTGACATTAAGTCCCAGAAATACAACCCTTGTGTAGTTAAAAGTGAGAGAAATTCAATCTTTACTCATGTAACCACTCTGAAATGGACCTTGCTAGCAAAATGGCACTGGGAGATTTCAGCAAGAATATTCTTATATTTGTTAGCATACAGCATGATTAAGTGTTGTATTTGATAACGACGAGTAAATGTTCAGTTCATTAACTCGACATTAAATTGTCATCTTGTTTGTATTTATATATGTGTTATTTCACTAGCTACACAGATTGTGTCAACACGATGTTGTCACTTGGTCACCATGTACTGCTTGCAAGGCTGGCTTTAGCTGCTCTGACAACTTCCAGATGGCAAGTGTCACTCATCCCCTTCTAGCCTTAAGCACTATTTTGCCTTCATACCACATAAAAAACCCAGTGAAACGGCATCACAAAATACTTTGCTTCAGAACATGGAAAAATAACTCCCTGAATCAGATTTTCTTTGCTCCGAGCTAATCAGATGTTAAAGCATTCTGTGAATCATCTTAGACATGGTTACACTCAACTATCTCAACCAGTGACTAATAGAGCAAAGCAAGTATTTCTGCCATGGAATTTCATTTTTTATTTTAGATGCAGCCAGCCCAAGCTGTGTACTGTCTGACAGAGAAATCTGCATTCACATTGCTAACCATACAAAACAACTCAAGTCAGCAGGTCATTTTCATAAAAGTATCACAGAAAACGCTACTCAAAAAAATATAATTTCACAAGCTTATGAAATGCAAAAACTAAAAGGATAACCATGCAAGCAAGCATTTCCTCTCCTAAAAGCATTTTGGAAAAGGGACATAGGAACTAACATAACAGAAAGATGACTGATTTTACACCAAATCAATAACTACTATCCAACATAAGGATATATATAAAAAATCCCACAAAATAAAGGCCTACCTTGCAAAACAAGCATTTCTTAGAAACAAGTGTGCAAATGTCAAATGCCTAGTGGTGAGTCTGGTTTAGAAACAATCTATCCCAAGGAAATAAAATATCCACCCCCCAAAGCGTATGTGGAGTCACTTCCTATTTCAACAGAATTCTTGAAACATATTGTTAACTAACACTCCTAAAAATTACAATCTGGTTTCTGATTGTCAAAGCAGAAATAAAGAGAAATTTGGAATTTCAAGTGATACTACAGGAGTGATAATATATCAAGATACAAGAGGTCTACAATATCATTCCATGTCCATTTTCCTCAAACTACCACTTCTGACAAAGAGGCCCTTCATCTAAGATTTGCACACTCTCCACCTCCATGCCATGCCATCTCTTATTTCTGCCCTATGCTGCAGTTCAACACTCCTTCAAGTTGTGCCTTACTGTTTGTAAGGACATGCTGTAGAATGGGTCACTGAAATTATCTGGGTTAAAGAATAATCCGCGTAGACCCTCTGAGGTAGAAAAAAGACAAGAAAACAAAAAAAAAAACCCCTCCATTACTAAGGGTTTTGAAAAATCCAATGAATTAATTTGATCATACAAGTTCTCTGTCACAGCTGCTTCAGCACAAAGCAAATACGCATTCATGCCATACAGCTTGAGACTTTTGCAGAAACT